TTTAAAGATTTATTTATTTATTTATTTGACAGAGAGAGACACAGCAAGAGAGGGAACACAAGCAGGGGGAATGGGAGAGGAAGAAGCAGGCTTCCTGCAGAGCAGGGAGCCCGATGCGGGACTCAATCCCAGGACCCTGGGATCACGACCTGAGCCGAAGGCAGACGCTTAACAACTGAGCCACCCAGGCGCCCCGAGAGAGAGAATTTCTTAAGCAGACTCCCTGCTAAGTGTGGAGCCCAGGGTGGGGCTTGATTTCACAACCCTGAGATCATGATCTGAGCTGAAACCAAGAGTTGGACCTTAACCAACGGAGCCACACACGCAGCCCACCATTACACAACACCATCACAGCTCAACTCTGATGCTGTTGTGTAAAAAGTATCAAAATTTAAATTTCATCTCAGGTTTTTTTACTGTGTAAACTACAGAGCTTATGAAAGTTTATTTTGCATCAAGTGTTTCATCCATTCAGCCTGATATTTTGTCTCTGCTATAAATATTTGAATGCTATTTTATGGAAAGTTAGGTCAGTATGTAATCTTAAATCATTATGGAACATACAGTTTATACGTTTGGCCAGTATTTGGTCAGTATCACTTCTAGTCACTAAATCTGTTTTTCTCACACACAAAGAGGGAAAATCATGGAGCTACTTGTGGGACTTCTTAAAAGATCACAGGGGTTGGAGCTGCGAAGTTATGATAGGTGTTTAGTAATGATGAAGATAAAAATCACCAGTTATACAGGTTTTTCCCACTATCTGAAAGTAGAACATTCCTATGAAACCTTTTGTAAGCCAAAATGGCATAAAGCAAAGAAACCATTACCATTTCTTTTTTGTTGTTGTAAAGATTTATTTATTTATTTGAGGAGGCGAGGGGCAGAGAGAGAGAAGAACACAAGCAGACTAGCACTGAGCGTGAAGTCAGATGTGGGACTCCATCTCATGACCCATGGGATCATGACCTGAGCCAAAACCAAGAGCTGAATGCTCAGCTGACTGCACCACCCAGACACCCCAACAAGTACCATTTCATAAACACAAAAATCTGTTTCATATTCCTTTCAGTCAGTTAAAACAGGTACTAACATAGGTTTTTGTAAAAGCAAAGTGGTGTAAAGCAAACTTTTGGATGGGAGGAAACCTGTACATAGAAATTAATTAGTCTTAGCTATTTTTTGAGTTCATTGTATACTGCTAGATTTTAGATATACTGACATTTTGATGTTATTGGTGCCCATGCCTCTGGATATGAACTTGGAAATGTGATGTGTGTGTGTGTATGTGTTTGTTAGAGATAATGGATGTATGGAAGATTTAATGGCAAAAGTTAGAGTCCCAAGATTAAAGACTGAAAATAATGATCTGAAATTAGTAACTTTCAAATGGGGATTATCTAAACTTACATTGAGACTATTTGGAATACTATTCACTGTTGGCTTAGAGGACTTAGGAGGTCCTTTATAACTCTGACAGAATGTCTTTCTAAGTCATAACTTTTTGAAAGTACTGTTTCAAATAAAATTACCTCAAGTTGTAAAGGATGTTCCCTCATTCATAACAGATGGAGTAAAAAGGCATCATTTATCTTAATCATATCATTTTAATGTCTTTTACCATTAATGTCCTATGTTTTTTTTCCAGTCTGCACCCTCTGTCCTCTAAATAACATGGTTTTCCTTTTAAAAACTAAAAAATAGGGGCGCCTGGGTGGCTCAGTCTGTTAAGCATCTGACTTCGGCTCTGGTTGTGATCTCGGGGTCCTGGAATCAAGCCCCATGTCAGGCTCCTTGCTCAGCGGGGAGTCTGCCTCTCCCTCTGCTCCTCCCCGCTGCTTGTGCTCTCTCTCTCAAATAAATAAATAATCTTTAAAAAACAAAACACTAAAAAATATGTTGGTAATAACAAAGTTGTGAGTTACTCTGACTTAAATTTAAAAATAGATGTCAGGTAATGTGTTTTCTTAGAATTTTAAGGACATATATTGGTATAAAGGTATGAGAGAGGTTTGTTTGCTTAATGACCTAGGCTGAGAACTGAAGGTTAAAAAGTTTTCTGCTTTTTATCATTATAGAAATGTCTTACCTTCCTTTTTTCACCTTCCTTTTCTTCCAGAAGCCCTGCTGCATTGCCAACCAAATACCTTTTCCTTTTTGAATAATATTTATTGTGCCCTAAAGAAAGAGAAAAGTAGTTAGGTGATAGACTCCATGTTCCTTCTATTTCTCTGCACTGACTTCTCTGACTCTATGTGGCCCTTTTATTAGGCTGACCCAAGAACTGTAAAAGTTTACTACAGTCTATAAATTCTCACAATAGAACATTAATTATACATGCCTTAAAAATCTTGAGTTCTTCATATTTCTCTTTAAAAAGTCTTAAATTATCAGAACTTTATAGGGTTCTATCCAGTTACTATAATTTTCCTGTCATTATCCTTATGTGGAAACATGTATAATGAAAATATGAAATGCTCTGGAATCAAGCAAGCCTAAATTTCAAATCTGTCTCACTGGTTATTAACTTAGTTACCATAAGCAAGTTTGTTAATTTCCATGTCTCTCCTTTCCCATTAGTAAAGTAGGAGTAGACATATTTGCCTCACTGGGTTGTTTTAGGGCTTAAATAAGATATAGTGTATATAAAGTTCCCAGTTCAGTGTAGCATCCAGTAGATACACACTATGGGTTAATGTTTCTCTCACTTTCCCCAAAGAACTGATTGGGTGGTATTTATCCATGATGTTTGAGAAATGAGAATTAAAAGTAATAAATTCAATGGGGCGCCTGGGTGGCTCAGTCATTAAGCGTCTGCCTTCAGCTCAGGTCATGATCCCAGGGTCCTGGGATGGAGCCCCGCATCAGGCTCCCTGCTCAGCGGGAAGCCTGCTTCTCCCTCTACCACTCCCCCTGCTTGTGTTCCCTCTCTCGCTGTCTCTGTGTCAAATAAATAAAATCTTAAAAAGAAAAAAGTAATAAATTCAAGACTTTTTTGGGTTTTTATTGAAAGTAACCAGTTTTCCTTTCTTATGTATAGCATATCCCGCTCCTCTAACGAGTATTAGAGGCCGAAAACCTCTTTTTGGAGAAATAGGACACACTATTATGAACTTACTTGTTGTGAGTAATCAAACTATTAAGTGTTTTTACATTGTTATTTTAAAATTTTATTTAGCATATTTTACATATTTATATTTTCCTATTTCAATTTGGCATATTTGGTATAATGAAAGTTCATTTATTATATATCTTAATTTATTTAGCATAAATGGGCTCTGTTTTTAATAAATTGGTTTTTAGAACACATCTCCTAATATATGTGTACCTGGTTGTAACTGTCTTTTGATTTGTTCTGCTGCAGTGCTTTCACATGTAGGTAATGTGAGATCTACACAGTTGTTGAAGGGTTAGCAAAAGTGTTAGTATCCTAAGTCCATCAGTTTGGTGATTTTGAGCAAATTGTGGCCCAGGTTTCCTCATTTGTAATAGGAAGAATTGGATTAGATAATCTCAGGTTCCCTTCCACCTCTTTTTTCTGTAATTGTTTTATCTGTAATCATAGAAAAGTATTTCAGTGGACTTACTTTTATTTATACATGTTTACTTTGAAGACCTATTTTGGAAGATCTGTAATTAGAAAGAGGAGATCACCCCCAAATACTACAGAATTCTTCCTGAGAATGATATTCTTTATTACTGTTGTGGAGTAGTTGGAAGGATTAATTGGTGTTTTTCAGTTGGTATTGCTTTCTGGATGGCATTTTGATAGTTATGTATCACAGGTCTTAAAATGGTGGACACTCTTAAAAAAGGATTTAATGAATGGGTAAAATGCTCATGGATAGTTTAAGGTTTATGGAAATGTCATTATTTTATATGTAGGACCTTCGAAATTACCAGTATACCTTGCATAATATAGATCAGCTATTGATTCATATGGAAATGGGGAAGAGCTGCATAAAAATACCTCGGAAAAAATACAATGATGTAAGTCTAATTTCTTCATGCAGATTTTGAAGATAATTATTGAACATTAGATTTCTTTAAAAATATGTTAATTTGTTTTGAATCGGACTGTCTCATACATAATGGCAAAAATATTTTTGAAATTTTATATTTGTTTTCTAATAAAGGATTTGTTTAATCCTGTTTTTTAAAACTTTTTCTTTACTGTTTTATCTATTAATTGAGGTGATTTTATCTTAAAACATTTGATTCCATCACATTCTCAGGGAGTTGTCCAGACCAAAGCTTGATAATTATGAAGCTGGTCGGAATTGTGGCCCTTTGAATGACTGTAACTAATAAAGACATAACATGTTAGTAATGTTTCTAAATGAGTGTTGTTTTTTTCCAGGTAATGAAGGTTATAAATTCTTCTAATGAGCATGTCATTAGCATTGGAGCTAGTTTTAGTACTGAAGCAGATTCTCACCTAGTCTGTATACAGAACGATGGCATTTATCAAACACAAGCCAACAGTGCCACTGGCCATCCTAGAAAAGGTAAGTGTTGGTTCCTAGTATTGATCTATAAAACTACCTCAATAAATGGAATTCCTTTCAAAGGGGAAATGTATATATTTTACTTATTTGCTGAATTGATGGTAATAATACATTATGATTTAAAATTTTAGCTACGCAGATTAAAAATTGCTTCTAATTTGTGTTTTTTTCTTGGGCTACATTAGGTTTAAGGACTTGGAACACTATTTATTTTGATATCTTCAGGTTTAATTTATCCCATATGGTATGAATCTTATTTTCAGTAATTTCTCTCTGGAAGGAGGTGTTTGTCAGCTATTGTTTGCTCTCTGCTCCAACTCCTCTTAGGGGAGTACAGTCTAGATAAGGATGAAGAATGATTTATAAAACTGTAAGTGGCTGGGGATATAGAAATGGTAAAGATGGTGGAGTAGCCTATGTGAGTGACATTACTCTCAGTTCTGGCTGAATGGCCTTAGTGACTGCTGTGATTGCCAGATCCTTGCAGTAGAGGGCCTAACAAATTGAAAGTTAAGTGGAAGTGAGTATATCATAAAATTAATACATTTTAAAATAACATATTTAAGGGCGCCTGGGTGGCTCAGTTGGTTGGGCGACTGCCTTCAGCTCAGGTCATGATCCTGGAGTCCCAGGATCGAGTCCCATATCGGGCTCCTTGCTCAGCAGGGGGTCTGCTTCTCCCTCTGATCCTCCCCCCTCTCATGTGCTCTCTCTCTCTCAAATAAATAAATAAAATCTTAAAAAAAAAAAATATTTAAAATAGTTTGACATTCTG